ATATTCCGTGCTATTTTAGTCAACATGCTTTTAGGATTATTTCTCCAGAATTAATCGGTACATTTTAATCTAAATCAATAAAGAGGGTGTAATAAAGCTAAATCCAGAGTCTTATTAAGATGGCCAGAGTAGATCACCTGCGCGACCAAATCTCTGTAAGTTCGTTCCCTGAATATGGAATCCTATTGCTGCAGTTGAGTGCAAAAAAGAAATACTCCCCGATAGCTCATTTGACTGCGGGTAAATAAAAAATATGTTAATATTTAATATTTTTAATTTTAAATATTTTGTGCATCAAAATAAAACTGTTTTATATTTTGAAAAAATTAACAGGTTTTGTAAGATTCATATTAATTTAACTGTTGACTGCATCATTCAAAAAAATACATGTAATAAATCTTATCAGTATTTTAAATACATTTTCCTTTTTCTATATGACTCAAATTTAATGAAAAAGCATCGCAGCACTTGCTAAAGTAAAAGACTTCCAGCAATGATTTTTATCAAACCTGACAGAATCTACGGAAATTAAATGACATTATAACATATCAGTATTTTAAATACATTTTCCTTTTTTCTGATCCGCTTGGAGTGATTGCACTTTTCTAAAAAAAACTATTATAAATAGCAAATCAAAAATAATTTTTATTAAATTAAAATGACATTATAACTCTTTATAGTTTTTAATATTCAATAATTTTCTCAAAACTACGACTCTAGTAAATTAAACTATAAAAAATTATTTTGCTTCTTCTAATTTTTTAGAAAATAACAAAAAATTATAACAAAATCAGGCTAGCAATTTCCTTAAAACTAAAACTGAAAATAAAATCTATCGATCTAAATTTATCAATATCATAAAAATTTCATTACAAACACTATCATTGCCGATCTCAAGCCCGGATGTGAAAAGTAGAGGGTTGTGTTAGGTAGTCGACAGCCAGCATAAAACTTTTTGAAAAATCATAACATGAATCATTTTGATCATTATGTAAGTGCTAGGGCGTCTCTTTGAAGCGACGAGTTGTATGGTCTGAATATAGTAAAAAGTATGCAAAGGCCACCACATCGACGCCCTGGTGTAGTATCAAATAGGCAATGGCTCTCACATGACAGACAAATGTGGGTAAAGAAGTTAGTCTATGAAACTAATATTAAGATAAGATCATGGAATATGGGTACTCTTACTGTTTAATCAATGAAATTAGTTGATATTATGATTCATAGAACCATAAAACTTGTTGAAAAATCATAACATGAATCATTTTAATCATTATGTAAGTGCTAGGGCATCTCTTTGAAGCGACGAGTTGTATGGTCTGAATATAGTAAAAAGTATGCAAAGGCCACCACATCGACGCACTGGTGTAGTATCAAATAGGCAATGGCTCTCACATGACAGACAAATGTGAGTAAAGAAGTTAGTCTATGAAACCAATATTAAGATAAGATCATGGAATATAGGTACTCTTACTGATGAATCAATGGAATTAGTTGATATTATGATTCATAGAAAGATAAATATCTTATGTGTTCAAGAAACTAAATGGGTTAGAGAAAAAGCTAAGGAGATTGATAACTTAGGTTTTAAACTTTCGTATTCAGGTAAGAGTCGCACTGAAAATGGGGTAGTTGTAATTATAGAAAAGAGTTTGAAAGATCATATTGTAAAAACTAATAGAGCTGGAATTAGAATTATAGCACTTAGACTATTTTGGATACTAAGATTTTTAATATTATAAGTGCTTATGCTCCTCAGTTTAGATATAGGCTCTAAAGATAAATTCTGGAATGACTTTGAAGACTTAACATAAATGATATCTCTTGAAGAAAGAATTTCTATTGAAGGAGATTTAAATTGTCATGTTGGTAGAAGGTAGAAGATTTTAGAAATATTTATGGTGGCTATGGTTTTTGAGTGATTAATGAAGGTTGTAGAGCTATATTAGATTTTCATTTAACGTATGATTTTGTTATTGCTAATACATTATTCAATAAAAGAGATTAGCATAATATTACTTATAATAATGAAGCTTATAAAAAACAAATTGATTTGCTTCTTATGAGAAGAAGAGATCATCGAGAATGTATAGATTGTAAGGTCATTCTAATTGAGGATTTAAGTACTCTACATCGATTGTTAGTTCTAGATTTTAAGATGAAGAGTTGTAAAATAAAAAATACTAGGAATCATCGTCGATAGAATTATATGAGGTAACTATAAAACACAAATAAATTTATTTTTATAAGTAAAATTTAAGATTTTAAAATTTGGGATGTTCATGAAAAAGCAAATTCTATGTGGGATAAAGAAACAAAAATTATTAAACAAGTGACAAAAGTTGTACTTGAAGAATCAAATGAAAAAGTTTCTATAAATAAAAATAGTTGATAGTACAATAATAATGTGCAAAAAAGAGAAAATATAAGGAAGTATGTTATAAAAATTAGTTTAAATGTAAAAGCTTAGAGAACTGAGAAAATATCAAAGGGCCCGTAGAGAGTCTAAAAGAACAATCTATGACGCTAAAATTCTGCTTTTAGCGATCTTTATAATAAATTATATACCAAAGAAGGTGAAAAATATATGTATAAAGTAGCCAAACAAAGAAAAAAGAAAGGTAAAGATTTAACTCAAGCAAAGTATATTAAACATGAAAATCAAAAAATGCTTTTCTTAGAAAAAGATATTCAAAATAGGTGGGTGAGCTATTTTGATAAGCACATTAATGAAGTTTCGGAAAATATGATCGACCTTAGTGATCTTAATATCATTAATTATAATAAAATATTTCATTTTTACCATCGGATTATTAAAAAAGAAGTTGAGGAGGCCTTAAGGAAAAGCAAGGGTGGAAAGTCTATATGACTGGATGATATCCCAATTGAAGTGTGAAAATATTTAAGAGATTTGGGAGTTTCTTGGCTTACTAAACTCTTTAATATTATTTTAAAAACTAAAAAGATGCCAAAGGAGTGGAGGAAGAGTATTTTAGTCCCCATTTTTAAGAATAAAGAGGATGTACAAGTGTGTCAATTATAGAGGAACTAAGTTGACGTGTCATACTTTAAAATTATGGGACAGGGTAATTGAACATAGGTTAAGACGTATTACAAAGATTTCTCATAATCAATTTGGATTTATGTTGGGCAGGTCTACTATGGAAGCTATACATTTATCAAGAGGTTTAATGAAAAAGTTTAGAGATAATAAGTAGTATTTACATATGATTTTTATTAATACCTTGGTGCATCCTTTTTGCTGATGATATCCTTCTAATGGATAAGATGAGAGAAAAAGCTCAGGAAAACCTTGAATAATGGAGGTCTAACTTGGACTCTGAAGGTCTTCGTTTGAGTAGAACTAAAACTAAAAATGGAATGTAATTTTAGTAGTAGTAGCTCTAGTGACAGAAATGTAACTATGGGTGATCAAATTGTTAAAAGCTGTAAACGCTTTAGATATGTCATGTCTATTGTTCAAAGTGATGTTGATATTGATGGGGATGTTATTAGTAGAATTCAAGTTAATTGGTTGAAGTGGAGGAATGCTTCAGGCCTACTGTGTGATAGAAAAGTACCACTTAGACAAAAAGGAATATTTTATAAGATGGTGGTGAAACTTGCAATGCTCTATGGCACTGAATTTTTGCCTTTAAAAGAGAAGCATAAAACTAGGTTAATTGCTGCCGAGATGAGAATGATTAGGTGGATGAGTGACTTGACACTTATAAACAAATGCAAAATGATTTATCTATGATATGGTTGGCGTAGCTCCACTGACAGACAAAATTAGAGAGAGTCGTCTTAGATGGTTTGATTACATTAAACGTCGATCTTCTGATGATGATACAATGAAAAGAGTAGATATTTTAGTTTCAACTTATGTTAAGAAATGCAAAGGTAGACTAATGATGACTTGGGCATATTGTGTAAAATTTGATATTAATTCTTTAGGATTAAATGAAAATATGACACTAAATAGGACGCAATGGAGAAAAAGGGTTCATGTAACCAAGCCAGGGATAAAGGTTTTGTTTTTGTTGTTGTATAAAAATTTCATATAATCAGTTTGAGCCTTTTATCTTATATAATCAGTTTGAGCCCAATGAAATACGAAAATATAGAGACAAGGTACTAAGAGCAAAATATAATTTCGAATCAACTTGAAATGTACATATATTACAATTTATTTATTTTTCAAAATAAAAGTCATTCTGCCATCAAACATCTTCATTTTAAAATAAACATTATTACACAACCGTACAATTCTTATGTATTTATATATCTAACAATTTGATATTTGCTTGTATAGCACTAATGTTTCAAATCACAAAAAAACATACATATAATGATATGTTTCACATTTAACAAACTCTATTTGTAGTAGATTACATGAAATGTATGTAATTTCAATGATTTGGAAGTCATATATAAAGAGAAAAAATGTGAATATATTTAAATCCCACAAATTCATTTGACAAGGAGCATTTAACTTCTTTTTTTTAACAGGTGTAGAGATCCCTCGTCTTATGCATCAACAACAAATTGTAATTATAACAGGTTTGTGTGTGCTCTATAAACGGCCAAACAGATGATCATAGAACACTGAGCGTTGTAAGTTACAGAAAATAATTGTTATCTCCTACAAATCAGGCAAGCTGCTTTATTTAAATAGTATAGAAAATATTACATGACAACTAAACCTATTTTAAAAAAAAAAGCACTCATCACAATGTCTAACCTGACAACTAAACCTATTTTTAAAAAAAAAAGCACTCATCACAATGTCTAACCTTCAGCAAAAAATTTCTATTCATATAAATAATTTAAATTAATTAAAATATTCAAAAATAAACTTGAAAAACATTCATAGGCCATTTTGCTTTATTATACCACGCAAATAGCACGATGGGATGCTATTTTGTGCTTTTGTCATGAATATTTCTTATTATAGCTTGCCAGTAGTGATTGTTGGGTTTTCAATTCACTTCGAGGGCTTCAGAGGAATATGTGCCTCGGTATTAAATAAAAAGAGGAAATAACGATCCTTGAATCCTTCATAACATCTGACCCCTTAGTTGAATTTAATTGATGGCAGAAGCCTAAACCTGCGGCACTTTATGCATCTTACAAGTAATGAAATGCACAAATGTTACATGGGAACAAGGAAAAATGATAAGAAAAAAAAGTAAAATACACATGTAATGACTAATTTGGTGAGAGAAAATGAACCCGGGCTAAAAGATATTCCTTCCCCGCCACCCAGACGCCAGTTTGAGACCACTGCACATCCTCCCAGTCCAAATTCTCCTCCAAAACCTGATCATATGTAAATTAAAAAAGGCAATAAGATAATACAGAGGCACGTGTACTAATCTCAAAATGGAAACAAAGTAAATATTTGATAACCAAAAAGAAAAAAGAAAAAAAAAAAAGTGACATTAATTTTCATTTGCAGTTTCTTCCATTCAAATGCTGCATTTGAGGTGTCCATTTGCGATAGTTAGGATTATTGGCATGTTTGGGATGACTTCTGCTTTTTTTTTTTAATTTCTTGCTGTTATTTTAAGGACATGTTCCTCTCACCAAGTATGTGGGTTGCTGACGTCCCACTTATTCTCAAGCTAGCTTGAAAATCTTGGGAGGCCATTGGGATTACTTTAGTTTATTTTTATATATATATATATATTTTTTTACTTCCATTTTGTTTTTTATAAGTTTTTCTTTGAAACAAACCATATTTAACACGTTTGATTAAGATATAATTATTTTGAGTGTTCTCTAGAATTTTTTTTTAATAATATATTAACCCGCATAAATACTAAAAATTATTTCTGGTAGAAAGATCCACAGGATACTAGCAACGAAACAAACTAATCAATAGAATTCTTAGAATCACTCTTAAGAATATAGAAAATGAATTCAAGGGCCTTCCAAAGATGAATGCAACTACAAAAATGACGATTTTTCATGTTTCATCCAACCATTCCCTTGAAATTTATGCAAATAAGGCCAACCTTAGTATCCGCCGTGTACTATAAAAATATATATAAATTCAAATCAATGGCTCAAAACAAAACATATATAATGAGAGAAGTAATGTGGACAGGGAAAATCCTATAAGAACCACTAGGTTGCCTATGCTACAGTGTCTGTTAAACTGCTGCTATGTATGTGCCTATTGTCACCTCCCAAAAGAGCCCTTAAGGGTGGTGGGCAGCCCAGGACTTAAATACTATTTTTCGGCCCTACACCTAGCCAATGTGGGACTATTTGTCCGTGACATTCTCCTCCACCCAATCACGTGACGCCCTCGTCACGGATCGGCTCCACCGAGGGTCCCACTGGACCATGGAGAGCCCACACACCTGACAGGCAGTAGTCTGCTCTGATACTCCTTGTCACCTCCCAAAAGAGCCCTTAAGGGTGGTGGGCAGCCCAGGACTTAAATACTGTTTTTCGGCCCTACACCTAGCCAATGTGGGACTATTTGTCCGTGACACTATGCTACAGTGTCTGTTAAACTGCTGCTATGTATACTGACGCACTACAACAATTTTGAATATCAAAAAAAAAAAAAAAAATCACAATATGTTTAACTTATCTTGTTCTCCAAGATTCTTAAAAGGCTTCAGCTCAAAAGATTATCGAAAGGCTTAAGGCGATGTGTGGGTTAAAATAGGATTTACGTTAAATAGGATTTATCAAATTTAATAAATCCGACAACTTTATGCGGCGGAGATGGAGCTCACGAGCAACGTTAAAATAAATCCTTAATCCGCCTCGAAATTGGATTTATTAAATCCAGATTTACGTCGTTCAATCAAGATATCCAAAAAAGTTAAATCAAGAAAAATGTTAGGTTAGATTAAGGTTCAATAAAATTAAATTTTTTTGAAGTGTTTAGCGACAAGAAGAGAAAAATCACATATTCTCCCTTAAATATGTTAAATCCACATAAGAATTGGATTTAATAAATCCAGGATTACTGTTAAAACAAATAAAAGTTCGGATTTAAATAACAGCGGGATTTAGCTTAAATATTTTTGCATTTGGCTGATTCAAGTTAATATTTAAACGTAAATTCATGTTTATATAGCGTACAAAACACCCCCTAGAAAAGCTATTGGCAAAAAATGGAGAACCTGCCTTGATTTTTTCTGAAACTGAAACTAATTTATTTGCTGAAGCTTTGCACTTTGCTTTGGTTAGAAAATTTATTTACGAGCATCCCAAAATGGATATTATTAGAAAACACATTGGTGGCCTTAAACTTTTGGGTGGATGGCAAGTTAGCTCCTTAGATGGAAGACACATTGTGATCAAGCTTGGCAGAGAAGAATAATATACTAGACTCCTCTCTAGGAAGCCTTGGTATTTGAAAATTATAAGAGCACTCAAATCGACCCCAAACTTTGACCCTTCCACTGAACCTCCAATTATTCCTCTTCGGATTACATTTCCCGGTGTAAGGTTTCACCTTTTCAATCAATAAGCATTCTACTCACTCTGGGGCAATATTTGGGAAGCCAATGAAAATAAATATGTTAACCTACAAATTTCAGTAGACCTTCAACAGCGAGGGTTATAGTGTAAAGCGGCATTACCCTTCCTTTGGCCAAGGGAGTATGGATAGGGACTAATAACGACGGCTACTGGCAAAAAGATGTAATTGAATACAAACCTTTATACTACACCATATGCTAAATGTTTGGTCACTATATTAAGAATTGTTCAGAAACAGCTCAAAAGATAGGAATAAAAGTGCTAATATTCCTGCTTGATATTGATAAACACGGTGGCAAAGTTGCTGAGGAACATCCACTTATTAATTTGGATCCGGCTCATGCTATTCAACAAGGGGCCTTCGTTGTTTCAGATAGCGACCAAGAAACAGCTTCCAATCCTGAAGAAAACCAAAATTTTCAAGAGCAGGTTGTTAATGAAGGGATCAATACTCAGCAGACTGAGGTAGACGTCGATGGATTCCTGGGCAGCACTACCCCAACAGATTTTGAAGCTCATAAAAATGCTTAACAGTGGGGATTTTGATGTAGCAAAACAGATTCTAGAGGAAGAATGAAAAGTGTAGAAAGCCAAGAGACTTGAAGGCAAAGCACATAGGGAACTAAATTATGTGGATCCCAATGTTATCATTGACTACCATGGATATACTGATGCTGAATTCTTGCTAGTATTGACAATGCGGTTCCTTCCAGGGTAATCAGGGGGAGTAGATCCGTTCCCCAGGTTTAATTTTTTTTATTTTGAATGTTAGAGACATTGCCAAAAGGGATGCCTCTAACAGGTCGTTGCATCTTATCAGGAATCACAACCTCAAGTGTTTTGCAATCCTTGAACGTATGGTTGCTGGGGAAAAAAAAAACATTCATAGACATGTTAGGAAATTGGGCAGATTAAAATATTTGGTCAATTGTACTAACAAAATCTGGTTCCTTAGGACGAATGGTATTTATGTTCAACTGATTTGGGATGATCCCCAATTTCTTCACATTCAAATTCAAATCCTGAATTTCTTTCTTCAAATTTCCATTATTTATTTTGGCTGCTCCAGAAATTCGTGTGAAGATTTATGTTGTAATTTGAATCACATCAGTGATAGTTGTGATGGTGCTTGGCTCAGTAGGGGGGATTTCAATATGATTATTTCTTCAGTGAGAAAGAAGGTGGTAGACCTCCTATGCTCACTGTGATGGATACTTTTTCTGAGAACATTGCTTCTGCTGGCCTCTTTGACATCCCTTTCACTGGATGCCCTTTCATTTGGACGAGGGGGAAAACTTTTGAAAGACTTGATAGAATCCTCGTTAACCGGGAATAGTTTGAGAATTTTCAGTATACTGCTGTAATACAACTCAACAGAATAGCTTCTGAGCACGTCCCACTCTTGTTGAAGTCGGACATCCTTGCTAAGCCTTCTCACACTCCTCACAGATTTTTAAATGTGCGGACTACTCATGTTCAATATTCAGAGTTCATTAAAGAAAACTAAATGGGGGATCACTTAGCTAATCCTTGGAATACACTTTGGAAAATATATACAGACAGCCGACAATCTTAAACAATGGAATTGGAACACATTTGGGGATGATCAAAAGAAGATAAGGGAGGCTGAAGAGTGAAGACCTTGTCAGTAGATTGGAGAATGACTTTTGTAATGATGTTGTTTCAGAGAATGAGCTCATTCTTGCACAAATTAATTAAATGAAGCCATTAACATTGAGGAGTACTTTCTAAGGCAAAAGGCGTCCAATACTAGCTTTATAGTTACTTACTACCATGCATTGGTTAATATATATATATATATATATATATATA